GTAAAAAACCCCGAATAGAGAAATCCTTATTCATTGGAGCAAGAGCATTTATAAGATCGTCAGAGGAAGGCACACCATTTGTCATTTATGCGGCTCCAACTATCAGGGAGAAGATCTCGACAACAAGTATACTTGAGCAATATAAGGATTTTAAAGACGTGTTTCAAAAGAAGAATACCGACATGCTACCGGAATACCAACCATATGATTGCGCCATAGACTTGCAGGAAGGAGCACAACCGCCTTTTGGCCCAATCTACAATCTATTGCAGACAGAGTTGGCGGAGTTGCGAAAGTACATCGACGAGAATCTAGCCAAGAACTTCATTCGTCATTCAAAATCGTCAACTGGAGCACCCATCTTATTTGTAAAGAAGAAAGATGGCTCGTTGCGGATGTACGTGGACTATCGAGGCCTCAACAAGGTAACAAAGAAGAATCATTATCTGTTACCCTTGATTTCTGGTCTCTTAGAACAACTTGGACGTGCAAGGATCTTTACAAAAATTGATCTAAGGAGAGCTTACAACCTCGTACGAATCAAGGAAGGAGATGAGTGGAAGACAACGTTTCGTACAAGGTATGGCCATTTTGAATATAATATCATGCCCTTTGGTCTTACCAATGCTCCAGCGGTCTTTCAATATATGATAAATGATATTTTCCTAGAGCACCTTGACGATTTTGTTGTCATCTATTTGGATGATATTCTGATATTCTCCAAAAACGAAGAAGAGCATGAAAAGCTTGTTCGTTTGGTCTTGGAGAAACTACGCGAGTGAGGACTATATGCCAAATTGGATAAGTGTTTATTTTACCAAATAGAGATGGAGTTTCTGGAGTTTGTTGCGACTACAGAAGGCTTGAAGATGGATCCTAAGAAGGTAGAAGCAATCGTGTCTTGAAAGGTTCCGAAGACGATTAGAGACGTACAATACTTTCTTGATTTTGCCAACTTCTATCGGATCTTCATCAAGAATTACTCTCAAGTTGCTGCTCCTCTCACTCGGTTGACATGCAAGGATAAGTTGGAATGGGGACCTCTAGCGAAGAAGGTATTTCAAGACCTCAAGACTGCATTTACTACAGATCCAATCTTGGTACATCCAGACTTTACAAAAGCCTTTTATTTAGAAACTGATGCTTCGGATTTTACTTTGGGAGCTGTACTTTCACAAATGGGAGAAGATAAGAAGCTCCATCTGGTTGCATTCTATTCTCAAAAGTTCTCTGCTGCTGAAATCAATTATGAGATCCATAATAAGGAACTTTTTGCTATAGTGGATTCTTTCCAAGAATGGCATCACTTTCTTGAAGGAGCTGCACACCCAGTGACCGTATACACAGATCACAAGAATTTGGAGCATTTCATGTTGGCTCGAGTTCTAAATCGACGTCAAGCTCGGTGGAGTATTATGTTATCTAGGTTCGATTTTGTTATCACTTATCGACCTGGAAAGCAGCAAGGACTATCTGATGCCTTATCGAGGAGATCGTATCTTGTACCAAAGGCTGGAGAAGCAGCGTTTGATCAACAATGTACGACATTGTTGAAGCCAGAGCAATTTCAGCTTTGCGCTACTATTGTGCCAATTGATGTTGACTTCCTGAATCAGGTACGTGCCGTTACCATTGAAGATTCAATAGCCATTGATATTAAGCAGTGTGCCAATGACGACAAGTTCAAGGTGGAAGGAGATCTTTTATACTTTGAAGAGCAGTTATATATCCCAAAAGGACCAGCATGACTCCGAGTTCTTCAATCTCACCACGATTTTCCAGCTGCGAGACATTTTAGATTCAACAAGACCTTAGAGCTTATTTCTCGAGATTTTTGGTGGTCCCAAATGTGAAAGAATGTAAAAGATTTTGTCCTCTCCTGCGACATCTATTCAAGATCCAAGAATCCTCGACATCGCCCTTATGGACTCCTACAGCCATTGCCAATTCCGCGTCAACCATGGTCTTAAATTTCCATGGACTTCATCACGGACCTGCCATCATCGAACTCATTTGATAGCATCTTTGTCGTTGTAGATTGACTTACAAAGATGGCGTACTTTGTCCCTTGCAAGAAGGCATCATCCAGTGAAGTCACAACAAGGCTCTTTCTCGATAATGTGTATCGATATCATGGACTACTAGATAATATCCTATCAGATCGAGGAACCCAGTTCGTATCAAAGTTTTAGAGATCTCTCTTTGAGATACTGAAGGTGGATATCAATCTTTCTTCGACTTTTCATCCTCAAACTGACGGCCAAACGGAACGGGTGAACCAAGTCTTGAAACAATACTTACGATGCAACATCAACTATCAGCAAGACGATTGGACCACATATCTGTCGCTAGCCAAGTTTGCATATAACAACACCCTCCATGCGTCGACTCAATACACACCATTCTTTTCCAACTATGGGTATCATTCAAAGCTTGATTTATTGAGTTCGTCAACAAATAACAATCCAACAGCTGAAGGATTTGCGAAACAACTATCAGAGCTTCAAAATACGTTGAAGCTTCAATTACAATCCGCTCAAGAATCCTACAAGGCGTTTGCAGATAGATTTCGGAATCAAGCACCTACTTTCAAAATTGGAGATAAAGCATGGCTTCTTCGACAAAATATCAAGACCAAGCGACCATGTGATAAGTTGGACTATCGAAGATTGGAACCATTTATCATCCAGAAGCAAATCAATCGAGTGGCGTATCGTCTGGAATTACCAGCTTCTATGAAGGTACATCCAATCTTTCATGTTTCTCTGTTGGAGTCCTATCGAGAGTCGTCTTTTCTTGGAAGAGTGCAATGTCCGCCACCTAATATTGAGATCGAGAACCATGAGGAATACGAGGTTGAAAAGATACTGGATTCATGGCAAAGATGGAACAAGTTTGAGTATCTTGTTCATTGGTGCGGCTATGACATTAATGAGTGAACGTGGGAGTCAACTGAAAATCTCGCCAATGCGTTACAAAAGGTACAGGAGTTTTATCAACAACATCCTCATAAACCTAAGCCAATTCGATGATAGCTTCCTTCTGAAGCTTGCTCACCCAAGAATATAAGAAAGGGGGAGAGCACCACCAAAATTCGTAGTTGATGTAGTTATTTTTTCCAAGATAAAATAGAATTTTTTCAGTAGCTATAGTTTGGTCTTCTGATATGGATAGCCAAGAGATAGATACTATGCCAGTCAGATTATCTCAACCAACTAGCTTACGAAGGCGACCCCGAGATGAAGAACCGCCTACACCACGACGACGACGGAGGATACCGAATAACCGATCACTGGTGATTGTATTTGAGTCCGAGCCTGCTTACGATGGTCAACTAGAAGGCGTATTTGCAAGACAATTTCACAATGAAAACACGGAAGTTTATGCTTGGTCAGAAATTGAAGGAGTAGGCCACTACCGTTGGCTTCAAGGGTCGATGAACCACTTGCCTCGTGAACAACAGTTGGAGTTCATAGCAGATGTTATGCGACAGATCTTCATTTTCTTGCGTTGGTATTGATTAACAACAACATTGCTTCTCAGAGACCTCAAAGCTAAAGGAGGGGGTGATGTTAGGGACATAGTCCTTAGAACCTTCTAGAGACAAGTTTTTAGAACCTTCTAGAAGTAAGTCTCTGGAACCTTCTAGAAGCTTTTTAGTTGGTAGAAGATATTAGGAACATAGTCCTTAGAACCTTCTAGAGATAAGTTTCTAGAACCTTCTAGAAGCAAGTCTCTGGAACCTTCTAGAAGCTTCCTAGTTGGTAGAAGTTGCTTGAGAAGCTTCCTAAATAGGAGTATATATTGGAATCGAGGTTGAAGAGTTTTTCAGTCTCGACAACACATCTCTTGGAGCTCTAGCTCACCTCTTTGGTGTTGTTCTTGTATTCATCTGATTAATCTAGTTCTTGCCAGTTCTTCTTGAACTTCTTCTTAGATCTCGAGTCTGTATTTCTGTGTCCGTGACACGTAGTTCTAAATATAAAAAACTACTATTGTATTTACTCTATTCAAATTTTCTACTAACCAAATTCTAATATACAAAAAGAATATATCGTAGTTGTTACTTACATAATGTTTTTAATTATAATTGATACTACTATTATTCTATTGAAGTTTATTGAATTTACAATGTAATTTTTGGAAAAAGTATTTTGATTATGTATTCAAAAATCGATTGTATCTTTAAACCAACCTTTGTTGTATTTGCCTTTGCCAAAATTCACTTATTTTATCCTTTTTCTTTAATATACTTCTCTGACAAGCAATCAAAACCATTGCAATTTATTATAGTTTTAATTGAACACATCTATATATTAATTTATGTTTCTCCAAATTATTCTCTTCATCTTACACCCCCATCTCGCATCATGTCTTAAATTTCTCTTACGTCCAACACCCCGCGGCTTAGCCAAAAGTAAATACTCTTGGGGTCAGCACAGCACAAAAAAACACATCATCTGATTCGTATAGTCCCTCGATTCAACTAAAGGGGAAGTTTAAAGAAATCACAAATTAATCACTACGAGTAGCAAGTGCTGGCTCCACGGACAGAAGTACTAACAGCATGTAGAGGCCGAGTCAGCTCTTCACAGCAGAAAAGGATTACTACAAGAAAGCTGTCAAAGCAGAAAAATTTGTTCTTCCATCATACAATAAAAAATGCATTCATAACCAATTCGATAAAAGATCTGCAAACACGCAAACTAAAAACGTTTGAGCGTGATTTAAGTCAATACGGGAAAGAAGAAGAAAAAGGATTACAACAAAATAAAATAAAAATAAGAAACCCTAACCGCTCCTCAATTTCCAGCAGAAAACTGCCCAACTAGGTACATGCTTGATCTCAGCAGCGTATCCAGCCCTTACAACATCGTCTATATGACATTGAAACAAAGCTAGAAGAAACCAAACCTAATTGCGGGAGGGCAAATAGCTTGAACACAAACACCGAGCTCGTCCATCACGGACACAAATCTAACCAGCAGAGGCAAGAATTCTAGTGCTTCAAAGAGTTGGTATAATTGATCATGTAATCATAACATCATAATTCTCACTGCACAGAAAATCAGATACTGTATGAAGACCTCCGTACTCTATATTCAGTCTTAGTACTTCCACATCAACTCTTCAAAAATCAGCAAAGCCATCAGAAATTGCCTTCGGTGCTCGAAAAAATTGCAAATCCACCAAAAAAATTTCTACCAACTGACATGAAGCCGCATGGAAAAAGAAAATTCAGGAAGTAGTCGGCTTTGAGATTTTCAAATCCATAATATTCTTGACTGCCGGGGCATAAAGATTGTACACAATGACCTGTCTCTTGATAATCTCAAGTTGCTTCACTCCGTAATCGTAAGCTGCAGCAAGCGCAGATGGATCAGAGACATTCTTGTTTTCCTTAAACCCCTCGATAGTCCTCCTCTTCACATACTCTCGCACATTATAATTGGAGAACTTACGACCCTCTCTCAACAGAGTCCTGAAAAGCTCCCTCGTCCGCGTGGGGGAGGGTGCTGCGACTCCGGCCATTCAAACCTTTTTCCCACTTCCTCCCTATCGACGCCACTCTAAACCCTCTGCAAAAGCCAGAATCCACTCGCCAGCAGTGTGAGGTTCTTGACAAACGAGCATAACTTGCAACTGAAAAAAGCTCTTCAAGAATTTATATCAGTTTCACAACTCCTAACCACTGCGATTTCCGCACCTATTTCATGTTCAAAGAGTCTAACGACGAATCCTATACGCTTAAATTGATTCCATAACAAGCAAGCAAACTCCGAGAAATATAAAAAAAAAAACCTACACAAAGCAATATGAAGAAGACCAGTAGCGGCTCACATGAAGGGAGAAGAGGCAAGAAACGAAGAGATTAATTAGCTGAAATCGAGGCAGCAATGAAGCTTCACCCTTGAAATTTGACTGGGAACACGATGCGATGGCCGAAGGACCTATCCACAGATTTCTAGGGTTTCAATAAGCAGAAGTAGACCCTATTACCGTCATTCTCACGGAAATGTGAGGAGGGAGTATGCATGATTTCATGGGTTGGTCTTCTTTAAACTAATTCTATTACCAATTCTCAGTTGTGAACTCTCACTTGGGCATGACAATCCCACACTTATATTGCAAGAATATTTTGTAGATTAATGTACTTGTTGTGGGGACATCCATTCATGCAAAATTTTGAGTAAAAATAAAATCATTAATGATCTTGATTGACATAAGGTGACAATGTAATAAATTTATATACCTTGGGCCTCTTATTTAGGGGAATGTTAAATAGACCCAGTTTTTTTTCTAAATTGACCTACCTATGATGAAGAATATGTTAATCATGATGAATGGGGTTGGTTTTCATTGGTTTTAGATCTAGTTGTAGAGAAATAAATTTAAAGGTCATTTTATTTATTTATTTATTTTTCCATTCATGATGGTTAGGATAGATGAGTAAATTTATTAAAAGCTTGGATTTATTTAATATATATATATATATATATATATATTAAAATATGATTTTAAAAAAATTGACTTATTAGTTATAAAACATTTATATTTTCGTTTTTTTTATTTAGTTTTTTTATATTTTATTATAAATTATATAAACAAATAGTTACAATCATAATATTTATGTAAATAGAAAAGACGATAATAAATCCTTTCTAAAATACTAACTTAAATTACAAGTACATAATTGTGACTAAAATGTAAATTTTTATTATGATTATCATACACTCTTCACAGTAAAAACGAATTTAAATCAATTGTCTTCATAAGATGTTAAATCTTTGTTACAAACAAGCAAGAAATTACAGTTACCCAATGATTCTATCTTTAAATCCTAATATTTTTATGCATATTAGAGATTTTATTTTATTTTATTTTATTTTTCTTTTGTAATGCTAAATTCCATATGTACATGTAAAAATCACATTACAAAATATTTTCAATATCAAATAAACGTAAATACATCTACTTGGAATGCTAATCTTGTATATACATTCTGGTACCTACTTAATATATTAATCTTTTGTTACTTTTATTAATATATGAGTAGTCTTGGTATGTTAATCTCATAAATGCATTTTGGTACCTACTTAATATATTAATATTTTATTTCTTTTATTAGTGTATGAATAGTCTTGGTATGCTATTTATGTGATGAATTTTGTAATTTTCTATTTTCCTACTAATTTAGGGTTTATTCAGGCTATATAAGATCCACCTAAGGCTAGTATTTTTTTGGTGGTTTTTCTTGTGTAAATGCAAATGTCAAAGACATAAATTAAGATAGAATTATTAAAAGATAATATACTCTTATGTTATTGAAAGAAAAAAATAAATATTAAAATAATAATGATAATTGCCAATTATCAAAAAACCTAGAGAGTCTTAAATCAAGATTAGAATATAAGAAAATTGTTTATTAGATTGAGCATGGTTTTACTCTTGCATCCATATGTACTAACCATCAAGAAGGTTTTGTAGAAGCTTTCTAGGGATTGCAAAGCTTATTGTCTAAGCATTATGTTGTAGATTGCTTCTAATGCAACTTCTTAAAAATAGAAAACTTATAGAATTTTTTTAAATAGATATGTGATATATTTATAATAAATCTAAATATTTAATCCATGTCTAAAAAAAATGCTTCAAAGCTTCTTAAAGAAGATATTATCTACATAACATGTTTTTACATACTTACACTAACCTCTATTTATTTAAGTAATATAAAAATCCATCACAACAACAATGTTGTGTATTACTATTATATAATTGTGGTATTGTTGTGTAGTAGTATTTTATTACTAAGTTGTTGTTGTGTGGATGTTTTATTATTGCAATACTATTGTACAATTGCAATTTTTTAAAGATAAATTGTAGGTGAAATTCTTTTAGTTACTTAGATGTTGATTCAATGTGGTATTATAATTTTTGAATTTTTCTTGCTTAATTGTGATGTAATAATTGCTAAATTATAATTTTTTTATTTCTTTTAATTTTTTTTTTAGATATTTTTTTAGTATTTCATTTTTTTTTTTTTTTAATATTTTAGAGAATGAAAATGACTTTTTATGAGTTGTGATAAAAATCTAAATTGGCATACTTAGATATAAAAGTCGATTTATTTTATTTTTGGTACCAAAGTTAAAATCTTGGTAATTAAGATATAGATTAATTTATTACTAATTAATTCTAGAATGAAATAAATCAATCCAATAGGCTCAAATAAATGAATTATAGCAACATGTCTATACTTATTTATTACCATATTTAATAGTATTTGATAAATATGCACAAAAATGGTTATGAATTGCATGACTAATTTTACATTAGTGTTTAATAATAGTAGAGGTGTCTAAGTAACATAGTCTCTCTAAATTTTTATTTTGTAATTAATACTAATAATAATAATAAGTATTTCTATTATTTTTGATCTCTTGAAATACTTCTATTTTAATTATAGAGTTGTAATAACATAAATCTAATAAATAGCTTAGTAGAAGTTTTGGATGCAATGTTAATTTTTTTAAATACAAGTTGGATCTTTATTATTACGTTCATCATTTTTTTTATGGACATGAAGTGCTATGGTTGTTTTAGTATTACATAAATGTTTAATAATTTTTAAATCATTATTTATTATGTGAATCTATCAAAAGAAGGCTTTGTTCTATTGAAAGTTGTTTTTTTGAAAACAATATTTGAAGGTTGTATATATTCTTTTATAAGATTTTTTCAAAGTAGTGTATTCAAAATAAGTATTTTTGCTCCTAATACAATTGATATTAGGTTGGAAATAAATAGGTATTATTAATAAATAGAATGAAAATAAATATGCAGATTAGAAATGCAAAAAGTTGTATTAACTTATAATATATTTAATTTGATTAAATAAGATTAGATACAACTATTATATATTTAGTTTATATGTATGTTTTGTTATATTTTTAGACAATCAAGACAAAGAAGTCCAAAATTGTTACAAAACTAAAACACAAAAATAATTGAACTTAGAAAAACTCAAAAATATAATTTTGTAAGTTATTTACTAATAAATTATCTTCTATTAATGTTATTTCTAATTTTTACTTACAATGGATTTTTTTTTTCTTTAGTAAGTTTTATTAAAAAGACATTAGTAATTATTTCTATAATATAAATTAATAAAAATTTATTCTCCTCTAACATAGTATTGAATATTTACAAGTTTATATTTTTAAAGAATATTTAAGATTTGTTATTAAAGCTACCTCACTTTGGTTGTAAGAATATATAATTTTAGGATTATGTTGTATAAATCTAAATTTAAAAAGTAGTCTTTTTAACTTTGGTTATTTTCTTAAATGAGTACTTAAATTAATTATAGTATAATTAAATTTATATGCATGTGACTTATAATGGCTTATAAATAAAGAAAACTTTTAATATTAATAGAAATAAAAAGATTGATATTATTTCTAATTTTATGGATGTGTTTAGAAAATTAAAAGAAAGCATATAAGATTTATATTATATATTTTTTAAAATTATTTTGATTAATGTGATATAATTTTAATTTTAATTTTATTTTTTAGAATAATATTTATTAGCATGTAGTAAAAAATTCTTTTATGTGACATCTTAAGTTTTTTTATGATAAATATTTTACAAATTATATAAATAAACGCTATCTTTAATATAAATGATAAGGATTTTAGAATAATTAATTACATACAAATATTTTTATCAACATCTAAAGATGTATAATAAAGTTGATACTTATCAAGACATTGGTATTAAGTTTTGTTAGATTGCTTAGATCCATAAATAATTTATTAAACTTCTACATCAATTATAAATTAGATTAAAAATATTATTTTTTACTAAAACAAATATTGTTCAAAAAAAAATCTAAAAAAACTATCTAAATATTAAATCGTTGTATTTCTAAACTATAGTGAGTGGCTTGAGCCAAAAATACTTTGATAGAGTCTAATCCTACCATTGCATAAAAGGTATTACAATAATCAATTCTAAGAATTTGAAAAAACTCTCTTACCACTAACCTTGTTTTATACTTGTTAATGGTGCCATATGATTTAAATTAAAATTAAAGATCTATTTAAAATAACTATTTTCTATAATAATGGTAATAAAATACAGTAATATATATATATATATATATATATATATGTGTATGTGTGTGCATGTATGTATATATATAGATACATACATACATACATACATACATTTTTTTTTGAAATTATGAATTCAATTGGGATAGTTTCTTACTTTGCATCTTCATTGTATTCTTCTAATTCTTGTTGCATTGCTATTAAAGTTTAAATAGATTAAAAAATCATGATGTTTTTATGTTTTTTATTTTTTTATTTTAATTTTATTTTAAAAATATAAAGAAAAAAGATGTAGTTGAAGTTGCAAAGAAAAAATTCATTCTTCTTGGAGTAAGAAATTATTAATTTTATCATGGTATGATAATAAAATAATAAATATTTATAATTTCAATTCCTGCCTTATCTAATTATTTTATTGAGAATAGATCTTAAGCATATTTTAATATGTGTAAAATATTAGGTGTGAATTTTATTAAAAAAATTAATAGTTGGATTTCAAAATTTCTACTTCTTTTAGTTTTATAGAAATCATCACTTAAATAGGTTACTTTTTTTTGTTTATTTGGTGTGTATTCTTGAAAAATGTCTTGTTTATAATACACACATGGATAGCTCTAGAATCTACATACCATATATAATTGGAATTGTCATGAACATTAAAGGCTATTATATATAAGGTTTTTTTTTGTTTCAGTACTAAGCATTTTTTTATGATTTCTATTTTTAGAGACTATAGTTCCACAATCTTTGATAAGGTATTTTGCGTTTTTCTAATATAGATATATATATATATATATATATATATATATATTTATAAAAAAAAACCAGAACTAGATTTGGAGGTTTTTTCTTAAAAGACTTCTTCTTTACTAAAGATTTATTGGAACTCTCATTTGTGGTTTTTATGATTATGCTTTTGATGTTTATGAAATGATTTGTGGATATACAGTGCTAAAGCATTTATATTATTGTAGTTTATTCTTCTCATTAATAATTCTCATTAGATTAAATTAATGATTTTGTCATTTTAGAAAACTTACAAAAGACCTGTGTCATGGAAGTAAACTTCTCATCAAAGTGAGCATAGCTTAAAAACCTACAGTAGAGCATTTTTTGACTAATAATAATTTTAAATGGATTCCACTAATTGTAACATATAATTTCTTTTATCTAAAAACTAAACTCAATATTTCCTTTCACAAATTATAAAAACGTTTTTACTAAAATCTGAATTATGATTAGTGTCAATTATTTGAGTCATGGCTATTTACTTTATTTAAGTTTATGTGAAATGTTTATTTGGTTTAAAACATTAGTTTTCTTACAATTTATGATTATTGATTCTAGTGTAAGATTCAATAGTACATATGCAGAACTTAATATTTTAGGTACACAAGGAATTTCTGATATTCCTTAATTGAGAGATTTTTAAAAAAAGTTTTTTTTTTTTTTTTTTTTTTTTTTTTCTTCTAATGAATTGTTACATACACTAATTGATTTAATTCTATTACATGCACTTCAATCTTGTTTTGATACCATGTAAAAATCATATTACAAAATATTTTTAACATTTAATAAATATGAATACATATTCTATACAAAGCCGTTGCACAACAAGGTCACAACGTAGTACACTAATCTTTTATTATTAGTTATTAATTATCCACAAACAACAATTTCACTTGCTGTGTCATTCACATACACCATGAGAAGGATTTCTTCTGCTTTTGACTTGCAGCTTTTGTGTGCAAGAACCATTCATAGAAATGAGCTGTTGATTGATTCATACTCTTCAGTAGAACAGTAGAATGAAGAATGGACTAGGCTCCGTTTCTGATCGAGAATAGCAGAATGGCAAAGGATTTAAGCACATTTTGGGTTTTGCAAGCAGGGAATTTGCATAACGAAAGCTTGCGCGTATTGATTATGTTTTCCAAACTTGAACAATGGCAGCTCCATGACGAACTCTCTCTGTCTCCTAAATACAGATATGCTAGCCATGAAATGCAATCATGGGACTTGCTTCGTGACCTGATCACACACAGGATTTCGCGCTTCCAACGAATGTTTTCACTCCTCTTCGAAGATCATCACGCATGTGGTGATGGAATTGGTTCCTCGTTGAATTGCAACTCTCGATCGAAGCTTCCTAGGTAGCCTCGATGGTTGCAGTGTCGATGCAGTAGCACACGTTGTTGTTTAAGCGCTTTCTTCCATTTCTCCCATTGCTTCTCGGAGGTCTGCCACCACGTCTGCCATGGTGGGTCTGTCTAGAGCCCTCGGCTCCACACACATCATTCCAAGTTTCGCAACTTTGCACATGCATTCTTCATCGTAGTCATCGTCAAGAGATGGATCCACCACGTCTTTTATCTTCCCGGCTGCTAACAGAGGTCTCATCTGGACAAAAAAATGATGAATCAGTTAGTGTAAGAAGTGTGTGACATAATGCTCTGATTGCATGATGATGTGTTCGCTAAATGTTTTCACAGATAATGTTAAACTTACCCATTCGATCAAGAGAGGATCCCTGTTAGTCACTGTCTTGTCGATTACTTCCTTTCCAGTTATCAACTCCAACAATGTCACACCGAAGCCGTAGACATCGCTCTTGTCTGTCAAATGACAGTTCCCCGTCACAAACCTGTGTCAAGAAATATTACACCCAGGTCATTCTTTGTGCAAATGAACCTGCTAAACATAAGACACCCAAATTTACTATTACCCAGTCAAACTCGTGCTATTGTTTACTTACTCAGGGTCGAGATATCCAGTAATGCCCGTCAAATCAACGCTGTAGCCTCGAAGTTTTGAATCTTTTTCACCCGTGAACTCAACAAAGCCAAAGTCTGCTACCTTCGCTACCATTTTCTTTGAGAGTAGAATGTTGGCTGGCTTCACATTTCGGTGTATAATACCTGGATTGCGACCTACGTGCAGGTATTGAAGCCCTAGAGCAACATCGAGAGCAATTGCTAAGCGTGCGCTAGATGATAGGGGCTTTTCACCCCCTGCAACCAAACAACAAAGACATCCGTCCTGATGAGTAATACTGTGCCATGGTTTTGAGTTGTGGAAGCTGTGGAAGCTAATCATGCAGTCCAATGCAGTAAAGTTCATGAACTTCTCTATCTAGATATGCAGTCCGTCCTCGGAGCCTTTCGGTTGATTCATACTCACCATGGAGATACGTTCGGAGATCACCATTTGACAGGTATTCATACACTAAAATCTGCTCCTGGCTTTCTTTGCAATAACCAAGCAACGAAACGAGATTTCTATGACGAATTTTTGAGAGGTGCTCCACCTGAAACACGCAGAGGAGGAAGACAGTTCAAGCTCAGGAGATACATGTTCGCATGCAAGAATAGAGTGCTTGAGTCCATCCACAGTGTCGGGACACTCCAAAATAGATTGCTTGGTAAAAACGGATACCTCGGCGAGAAATTGTAAAGTTGACAATTTACGGGATGGACGGCATCGTTTGACTAAAACTTCTTTGCCATCGGACAATCTACCTTTGTAGGTAGGCCCGTAACTTCCCTCGCCAATTTGTTCTTTAAAATTATTAGTTGCGTTTACAACATCCATGAACGAGTACCCTATCAGTGGACCTTTAGCGCCGCAATCGGAACCTGCCAAGCAGTTGAACCAACACGTTACGCCCCCATCCATGGCTTTGGCATGCAATGAGAAACAACACAAACTGCGCCTTGCAGAGAATTCAGCTTCGCACCTGCTTCAGGGTCTTCCTTCAAAAGATGTCTTGTTGAATATGAAGAGGATGCTCTCCGCGGCTTGAGAACAAATACACAAACCAAACCAAAGATGATGGAAGCTCCGAATCCAGCAGCCATACAACCGAATAGAATGCCTAAAAGGCTACTAGTGCCTGAGGGTGTTTTACTGGACTCTGAGGGTGTTTCAGCATCACGTAGTGCTGTGCAGTTTGTGGGAGAGGGCCCTGTACAAAGACCTGTGGAAGTGTACGTGAACGTAAAGCGCGTCTTGTTGAATAAGCTCTGCGGTACATATCCAGTGAAGTTGTTGCCTTCTACACGCCTGGCACCACAGCGATCACGTAGTAAGAAGAATTGAGTGCATTCTGAGCAGTCACAGCTTCATCTAGAACAACAATTCGAAACACACCTTGAGAACAAGACATGCAGTTCTGAAATCGATGTGGATATTGATAAATAAAATGAGAACGAGTAACTCACAGCACTTGAAGGGATGCCAAATTCACAACCCATGCAGGGAATTGCCCCGTGAGATTATTGTTCTGCAAATGCCTAGCAACCGGATAGTGAGGGTTAGTTCAATGAAGATTACATACCTTTGATCCAGACCTAGATAACCTAGGATCAGATGGTATCCAATTCTGTAAAAAATGGGGAATAACAAGACTGCTTACAATTGCTCCAGCTTCGTCAGAAAACTTAAATCCGGCACAGGCCCAGACAGTGAATTATTCTCGAACGACCTGGCAGAGACGGCAATTACCACACAACAAAGGTTAACTACAAGGATCAGAGCTCCTTTTCTCAACGGCAATGCACAAGTAGACCACCAGTGCGTTAATAAAAATCCTCGAAATTGCGTAAGTCACTTATAGATTAGCTTCACTTACAAAAATATCAGTTCAGAAAGATTACTGAGGGCAGCAGCACCAGGTATCGATCCAGTCAAGTTAAATCCCACAAAGTCTCTGTTCAACGATACGTCAGAACGTTGATGAGCCATGGCTGAGAATACCAGGAACTGCTAAAGGACTAAACAACAAAATTTCATGGTTATCATTGAATGTGAGGTAGCACACGCACAGGCTTGTGATTCTTGGAATAGGGACCAGTGAACAAGAGACCCATTTATATGGAAGGTATAAACAAGGATCCGCAGCCCATCTGCTCAAGCTCGCCCAGTGTTCCTTGATGGCGTCAATGGCAGCAACTGCATTAAGCAAAACAGACCACCTCTTAGAAACTGCTGTAGTAAGGTCAGAATTTAACAAGGAAAGCTGCCAACATTAGAGAAGCCTTTTAATTGTAATGTCCAGGATTTTGGTGTGATGGTAGCAGCGATGCTAATTCTAGCCAGGAGTTCATGTTACCATCTCGGTCGTCTGTTCTCGGTTGAATAGGTTCAGATACTTTGTAAACCTCCATTGCGTTGAGTATGGGCCCCTGGTTTGAGTCTTCAGTGGCATTGAAAGAAATCTGGGATGTCCTGGATAAATTGAGGCTGTCGTAACCCCACTCGTATGCTCGCAGACTGAATTCTGCGACGCCTAATTGTGAGATTGGAGCTGACCAGATCCCGTCAACACCGACCTCAAATATCCGCCGTCCGTCATCCGGGATTAATTCAGCAAACCACAGAAGGACCACGTAGTTTCCATCTTCGCTCACATTGAAGGGAATTGAGACGTTGGTGCCCTTCGGCCAGTCAATAGCCGTGTTCAATACTCTTTCAGGAGCGTTGTCTGGGGAGAGTGTAGAATCTCCCGTAGTCACATTTGACGTAGTAACAGAAAGATTTCTGTATCCTGGAACATTCGAAATTGGATTCTTAAGCCAAAGGCGATCATAAACGTCAATCGGGTAGCTGCACATAGGTAAAAAGATGATTTCATCCCGATTAGTGCTAATCACGACCTTTGTGGTAAGACTCTCCTGTTAAACCAGTCTAATCTATTTTTGTGTGATTGGTTAGAATAATTGCTGAACTTACCTTACATCCTGATCGCCTCCCATGTCGTAACGATAATTGGTGATCAGCATGTAACCTTGGTGTACCTTCTGGTACATCTGTGGATCCAGCGCCCGCAGCTCGATGGAATTGATGAATGGAACACCGATTTCACGTGCAAGACAGACATAGATGTTTTTCGCAACGGCTGACATGATAACCTCCTCAACATGTGTCCAATTGGAGGAATTGTTGAACAGTTTCTTCGATTGGGCATTGATGATAGCAACATTGGTCGAGTCAATGTGGAGCTGGAAACTTGTGGAAGTATCACTTTGTGTGTCTTTAGTGAGGTTAACGTGTACAAAAGTAGTTCGGACTAGGTAGGTAGTGCCGTTAGTTGCAGGTAAATCATAGCAAAACTTGTTGACAGCTTTCTCCGGAAAGTATCGCGAGCTTTGGTACCTGCGATAAGAGTTGTCAACCTGCGAAGTAGCATTAGGCACTTTTACTCCTGTTCTGATGAAGGAATCATCGGGCACCCAGGTGATATTATTGGCATCTTTATACTCTGCAGTAGCGCCGCAGTCTATGCTCAAAGTCAAGTGCTTGGTTACTGCAAAAGCCCAAGTGGAACATTTAATTGTTGGTAAAATTGAACTTCTAGAGCAGGTTAAGGCCAGTGCAGTAAAAAATTGTCAATCGGTTTCCTCAAGACATGCCCAACCCTAGGCCATCAAAACCCAAAATCCGTTGCCAGTCGTTCTAACTTCTAATCAGAATCAAACAAATTTCGATCAACTTAAAACGAGGAACCCGTATTCAACGGGATGCGCTCTACCAGCGAAATCTTCAAACACATCTGTAACAGAAAGGTTGTAGCATGTAGGCTTTTTTTCGTTTGCAGTCGAATGCTACTTGTGAGAATGAATTTGATTTGGCTACTGCAAGCAGCCTCGCCATGGCATAAATTAGGCGGCTGAAACACTTCCTAGTCTTTCAAATGAAGGAGAACTGCAGAAGCTAGATGGAACTCTCAAGACTTCTGCATACATCTCATTGATCCTTCGACCATTTACATGCGGTGTCAATCAGCACCGATCTTGTGTTAACCTCGCCAACCTTATCAAAAAGAAGAAATGTTCGGACAAATAGTTCGACGTCACAGTAAATGGATGTGCACCAATTCACACCTGACATATCCTCAACCAACACGTCGGTATCGCCGATGAATTCCAGATTTCACTACCTATTCGACGACACCCTTAACCTGATCGACTAGTGCGATTCAGACATTCACAACCTATGTCCGCAAGTTGAATGTATCCACTCCAGGGTAGAAATCAACTAACCAAGTGTATCCTGCGCTTCCGAGAGATGCACGTACTGCAAGATGAGTAAGAAAAACCAAAAAAACCCCTGTAATATGAACCGCTGAAATGGAAAACTCCTCATTGCGGCCCCCAAAACGCTCGACCAGCTCCTGTCATGCCCGTTCCATCACGTCGTATTCTATGTCCTTGGGCTTCTTCTTGCACCTTCCCATGCGATTGATCCTAGTCCCGCGACACGCAGAATCGGAACGACACGACCGTGTCACTCGATCGTCACCCTCGAATTTCGCGATTCACGGACATTTGCTTTAGCAGCAAGCCACTAGATTCTAGGCTACCGCTCTTCAAACCAAGTCGGTATCATATTACCGATTCAAAGCGACCACGTTCCACCACTATCCAGAAAACAAACCAAACTAGCTGAGAACACTGTAATCACAAAACAGACGTATCTGCGATCCTCCTCCGAAAATCGTGACCTACCTCGCATAAGAACTAAATTTTCTGCAAACGAGAAGATTCGGAGAGAAAGAACAAACGACAGCTGCACCAATTACTGGTGAGCTGGCTCACAAGTTCTTTGATCACAAACCTCCGGCGATGATATCGCAGACGAGTGAGAGACGACTTTTACAGCACAATTGGTAGTCGACCGCCGGTCGGTGGGAAATCCTGTTCCTCTCAATCCAAGATTGGCACACACGCCATCTCGGCCCTATTCGTGCAACCTGAATGAATGATTTTAAAATGGTCCACCATACGCTAGATTCGCTGCAAGGGCTCACAGTACTGACTAGGGAGATACCGAGAACGGATCTCACAGTCTGACTAAGGTTAGGTTGTGGACAAGTCTGTAGACCAGGGGTTGACCTTCAGATTGTCGTAGAGTAAGTTCAAACTTATGAGCGTCATTACCATCATCACCACCACTACCCCAGCAATAATAAAAAGTAGAATCTGGGACCAAAACATTTGCAATAGAGTCCTTAAAACCTTTGGTCTTGGGACACGATGAGGCTCCAGGGTTCCGTCTTGCCCTCATGCGGAGTGTGGATGTTAGCATGTGCAATCACACATGGTGTCCTACGGCGATCACTCCTTCACATTCTATCACCACAGTGGGAGTAAATTGTTACTTTTTACACTCGGTTAACATTCAAATGAGCAACTGAGGTGGCGGAGTGGTAGAACAAGCTAATATTAGGGTTTTAGGTAATTAGGGCTTGTAGTAGGAAACTAAGAGTTGGAGTCCAATTTATTCAAGCAATTTGGAAGCAAGGTATGAGCAATGAAGGCCTGTCATTGGATGAGACTGAGCAATCTACAAAGAGGACAAGGAAGTGGATGACATTATAGCTACTACGCTAATTAAAGAGAAAGATAGAGTTATATGCCACCATTATTAAGGCATAGGTGGCCCACACATATATTGCCCTAACAAGCTTAGAAGTAGGATACCAAGCGATAAAGGCTTGCTTCAACAACTAGGTGGAACTTGAGTTTGTAGTTGTAATGACTAACTTAAGAAAATATGCAAAAATCCACCCTATTAAATTTATTCAAGGTGAGAAACTCACAACTAATATGTATTACAATTTTATGAGGTTCTTCTTGAACAAAAAAACAATCAAAATTCAAGTTAATGAGGCCAAAGTGAAGCTCAAGATGGAGCACCTCTCGAGGTGTGTAACAATTGTATACTTTGTAAGGGGGAGACAAATCCAAAAGATTATGCAAGGGTAGTTAAGTTCATTCAAAATTGAGTTAAATAAAGAATTATATCTAAGAAGAGCTCTTAAGCATGGCTTTTTTTTAAAGTTATTTGTAAAGATGAGACCACCATGCAAAAAACACCTTATGAAGATGCCTCATTTGTCAAAAGAAGGCACTTATATCCTATACCTCTGGATTCCATAGTTCAACTTAGACAAATCACTTGCTATTAAGATGCTAATTTAGATTACCCTCAAAGTTGTTTTAAATGAATTTTTGAATAGTTCTTAGGATAATGCTAAGTCACGACTATTAGAATAGAAATAATATAGATCAAAAATTTGTATGGCACTTATGATAGGAATAGCTTACAATCTTATTATTGTAGTTAAAAATTATATTATTAGAATTATTTATAATATTTAAATATACTATAATAATCCACTTGTATAATGTACATATTTTCTTGTTATATCCTATCTTATTCGAGAGTGTTTGACCTTATTAAGAAATCAAAGGATAGAAATGGAGGCTTGAGCAAGTAATTTAGCTCCCTTGCAAGTATAGATGCCTTTAAAGGACAATATTATTTTTGAATCATAAAAAAAATAAGAAGTTGAGGAAGAAACTTGTCCAATATTTTTTACAAATCAGCACTTAAACACATATGACAAGATAACAAATTCTTCTATATGTTCTGAAATGCAAGCAACAAATGAGAGATGGACAATAAATTTGGCAAAAAAATTACAAAGATTAAGTCAATACCAATGACTTGCAACAAAAAGATTTAAGCATATTAGGGTGGATTACAAAGAAAAAAAACTATGGATGGACTGCATCACCAAACTTGAGCAAATTTATAGAAGTCAATAAATTTGTAATTGCAAGGAACATCTAGAGAAGTTGTAAAGAACCAAGACTCCTACCATCATTGCAACAAGATAAACCTCGGATACACAATCATATAATTACAGATGGTAATATAACTTATGCATAGAATAGAGAAGTGACTATAATAGATAAAGTAATTGACAATAGAAGAAATATGCAAGGCTAACACAATCCACACATCCATCATATTACACCATTATTTCTTTTTACTAGAAGACCTAAAAATACCTTGTTACTTAATCACTATATACCACCTTTTCTACACCTAGAGACCAAAGTAATAAATCTCTTCAAAAGAGATTCTCAATAGTTAGCACTTTTGATATACCTAATAGATGATATAGAATATGTAGTAGGGACCTTGAAAACTAAGATTATAGAAAGAAGTGATTTTTAAAATTCATGCAAATATGTATGCAACAATGACTAACTAAAGCAATCATTTCCTTTAAACGAAGATGAAAATTGATCCAACATAAATCTCAATAAGCAGAATGCATCTCAAACAATATCCAAATTGGTACTAAGTATGGCCATCCTTGAAACCTTTACAACTCTAATCATGATGCAATTTATACTAGAGAATCAACAAAAATGGGCATTACAATTAAAAATCATGTCATGAGAGCATTTAAGGACTAATAGGTTGTAAGTTATCAAATAGATTGATGAATTGTTTTAGAATAAAAGAAGGCATTTAGAGTACCAACAATATAATTTTTGGGAGAAGATTAATATAAAGAAGTTAGAAAAAGGAAAAATAATATTAATAAAAAAATACTATTTAATATAGAAAATCTATTAAAAATCTTCAATACAAAAGGCATCTTAGAGGCATTAGTGGAACATCATTTGTAGCATCTTAATAGTATCTAGATAAAATTTAAAACCTTCAAATTTTTAATATTATATAGTTTAGATATGGTTGTAAATGATCTAGATATGTATTCAATATAATATTAGATTTTATATGAAATATGGAAATAAATACAATACTAATATAATATTAATATAAATAAGAATAGGATACAAATATAATAATAATACAATAAATATATAAGAATGATATGATATTTGATATGATCAAAATATAGTATCAAATATGAAGACATATATGTTTGAGTATTAGGTTGATGTTTGATAGTGGTTCTTGAGTAGGAGTTTTTATCCGGACATTGTAGAATTTTACCACTATTAGAGCGGCTAGCATTAGCAATCTCTCATGGGATAAAATTTTCTTTTTTCTTTTATTTATTTTTTTTCTTGTCGATTAGGGATCTTTATAATTTGAGATATAAGTTATTATACTACATTATTTTTGTTCTTTATTCTTACAATTGCAGTAGAGAGATTATAAATTAATCAAATACACAAAAGTTAATTTAGAGTAATATGGCACTTCAAATATTCAAGTAATGATTGATGGCAGTTAAGAATTCAAGAGCCTAAGCAATCATGGTTTGATGTGTGATTCTTCTTATAAAAGATCTTCTTTGGCTTATTTTATATTGCTAGAGTAGTGTGATGTAGCGCTAATAGAATAATATCAACATTCATGGCAGGTCTTTTTTGTATTTTTTTTCTATTGCAACTTAGTTCGGAAGCTTAATAATTATGTTTAATGCAGTTAATGGTGCTTATGGCATTGTTTAGGTTATCTTACATCTGATAGACTATTACAGACATATATCTATTGTAATTCTTATATGAATAATATGAATAGATAGAAGTAAGTAAAAATAGATTAATTTCATAATATCTTCTAAAGAAGCTTTCTAAAAGCTTCTTAGATATTATTTTGACTTTGCATGTGTTTGTAGTTGATTAGTAGGTTAAAAACTTGATCAATAAACTAATCACATATCACATGTATTGATAGCTTATAAAATAAGCTAACTATTTGGTATCCATATAAAAAACTTGTCTTGTAAGCTAAGATACATGTCATACAAAATCAACATGTTTTTGGAGGTCCTATAGAACGTCGTCACATAGATCTTAGATAGAAAGTATATATAGAAGCAAAAATGAAGTCTTTTTCACTTTTTTTACTTTTAATTTAGTTTCAAGAGTCTATAGTTTTCTTGTCTTTTGGCAATAGCTATTCCAATTTTTTTTTAATATACATATATTTCTATTTTTATTTTGTCATATTTCTTTGAAAGAGTCCTATAGAACGTCGTCACATAGAGTCTCACTTATTTATTTGCTTTCATTGACTAATTGTCCTTGACAAATTGACAAGAGTACACTTATAATATCAAAGCTTTGTGTTTTTTTAATTAAGTATGAATTATTCCTTTCTTTTAATAAGACAATCATATTAGTAGTTGCAGATTACCATCTTCTAAATTGATATTGTCTTTAATATGTTTATTTTTATTTTTATTTTTATTGTTAAGTCTTTTCTTATATTTATCTTGAGCAATATTAGATATTTTCTTTTTTTAAGTATTATCATAGCATAACTTTTTAAAATGAAGAGTATAATAGTATAAATGTAAGAGCAATTGAGAAAGTTAATACTTGCAATGCATCAATTTAATTTACTGCCACATGGAGCAATAAGAGTGGCAGGGAGCAAAGATATAGATATGATTGGAGCTACTTCAATATCTACACCAAATTATGTCTGTTCTCCTATGATAGAATATCCTTTCAATATTAAAAAAATCAAAAATTTCATTGTTTGAGAAGTTTGATGGCCCAAGATCCAAGTTTAGATGATTTATCACTCAAGTATAATTTGTGATTGAACTTCAATTCCAAAGCTATCCAATTCCAGAATTGCAAATTAGATTTATTGGTACACTCCTTTCAAGTTTAATATTATCATGATTTTTATCTTTTATTAAATGATAAGATTTAATATTAAATAATTTGGATACTTTTTTGGTGGAGTTTTTATCTACATATAAAAAACATGATACAATTTGTATTGCAACCAATAAGATCTATATTTTGGGACAAGGCAATCAATTAATAATATTATATGTTTTAAAATTTTGATAATTTGGAACTAATATC